ATCCACACCACACCCACACCCACACTTTTGCCCCCTCTCACACCCACATTTCCCCCCCCCCACACACACACACATACACCACATCTCCTCTCCCAAACCAACACAGACCCATGCACCCTCAGTGCCCCCCCACACCTCTGTGTCCTGTGTGTCCACAGAGTTCACACCCAGGGCCAGCCCCGCATTGTTGATCAGGATGTCAACCTGTGATGATGATGACCGTGATTATTTGGGGGGTGGGGGGTAGGAGCGGTCCGGTGGCGTGGGCCAGCAAAACGGAGCGGGGTTGCAGGAGCGCTGCAGCGAGTCGACAGCGTTGGGTGAGGGGACGCTAAGGGGGGGATGGGGAATGCTTTGCAGGGATGACCCCGTGCGTGGGCAGCCCTCGCAGCAAGGGCTGCAGCAGATTGGTGCCCTCCTAGCACCCATCATCCCTGCGCGTACTGTGCCGACGGCTCTCTCCGAAAACCGGCGCCGGTTGCAGCAACCCCGCATCATCCACAAGCCTCGACGCTGTTCCTCCCCACCCAGCCCTGAAGCCGAGCAGCGCACGCCATGCCGCGTGGCTGTGTGATGATGGCATGGATCAAAGTGCACCCGTCAAGCCCGCCCTCCGCATACAACGCCCTCTGCATACAACTATAGCTGACGAGCTGGAACCACCACCAGCAGCACTAACTTAAACCGCGTCTCGCATATGAGGGCACCGACACACGCATGCACGACCCCTCCCTCCCCAAACCATACTCCCCCTTCCTCCGCCCCCTTCAACCCCCACTGGAAGTGGTGCGGCCGCACCTCACTGAATTCCGTCGGCAGGGATCCCGCCAGTGCCTCCACCGCTGCCAGATCGCGCATGTCCAGCTTCTGGATGTGGACTTGAGCCTGTGAGAGTGCGGGGTAGGTGGAGTGGGGCAAATGCGTGCTCGAGGGTGCCCAACACATACGTTTGTATTCTGGTGTATGCGAGTGTGTGTGGTGTGACGGGGGAAAAGAAGTTGGTCGCACTTTTGCCAGCATTCCACTCATTAGCCACACCATCCACTGCAGGCCCTCGTGCATTTCTACAATGCTTGAAGCGGCGTTTCTCAAGCACAGCCGCACACCCCACCCGCAACCCAATGCTCGCCCCCAGGGGATGAAAAAGCGGTCAAACTCGCCCCCACGGTAGCTTCCAGGTTCCTGAAGGGGTCACCCCCACCTGGTATGCGTCCACCAGCTGCGCCTTGAGCGACTCCAACCGCTCCAACCGCCGCGCCACCAGCACCAGCTTGCAGCCCGCCTCTGCAAATCGCCACGCCATCGCCTCCCCAAAGCCCGCGCTCGCGCCGGTGATGAGCACCGTGCTGCCGGCGATATTGAGCGGCGCGTACAGCTTGGTGGCCTGCATCGTGGCGTGCCTTGGGTGCCGCGGAACTGCTCTCGCCCTGCGTTCGCCGCAAGTCGTGGCGCGCACCAGGTTGGGAACGCGTCAGAACACTGGGTGCGCTCTGCGGAAGAACACAACCCCAGTCGCCAGGTGCGCGAGCGCTTTTGATGCGTAGAATTCACAGCCACACAATCGAATCTATACAACCACGCGCAGAGGTGTTGTAACCCGGTGGTGCTTACCACCGCAGATCGCTTTTGGCCTGATAGCGGGCGCGGAAAGAATAACAAGGCTTAGAGAACATTATAATTGAACAATGGACATGTCCTGCGGTTCCGCCAAAAAAAATGTCCTCGCGACTCGCGGTCTCCATTCTTTTGCATGTGGTCAGTTCCGGCGCGTGACTAGCCCTCTTTGGTAGCTGAGAAGCGAACAAGATGGTGAGCCAAAAGCTCTGCTCCAGATACACCAGCAGCACCTGCAGCAACGACGCGCCGGCGACAGTGTGCGGGCTCGCCGGGCTGGCATGACACAACGCTCTCGCATCTGTTTCGCAGGCGCCTAAGGAGCAGAAGAGCAAGGAGGCCAAGGCCATTGCTGCGTCGAACAGCAGCAAGGGCAAGAAGAAGGTCCGCACGGACCGCACACGGGACGGCATGCCTTTGCTCTGCAAGCTAGCTTTTTTGTTTGAATGTATTGGTGCTTTCGACTGCCGTGAGCTGGCGTGGGGTCCCTGACAGGCGTGCATCGCCCTGATCTGTGCCGCCCCGCGGCCCCCTCGCAGAAATGGAGCAAGGGTAAGGTGAAGGAGAAGGTGAACAACCTGGTGCTGTTCGACCAGGTGGGCGACGACCTGCGCTGCGCGCTGCGTCATGCGGGCGTACAGTGGGTGGCAGCGTGTGAAGTACCCGCACAGGAGAGCGCCCGCTGCTGCTGCTCCTTTAACCTAGAGCCCACCTCGTCCTGCATGCCCATCCCTAGCCAACGCCCAGTGCCGCTTGCTGTGTGTTTTGCGTATTCTTCTACCGGTTGTCGCTTCGTCCACGCACCTGCCGTACCCAACTCTTTTGTGCCTCCTCCCTCTCCCGCTCCAGCCCACCTACGACAAGCTGATCTCGGAGGTGCCCAAGTACAAGATGATCACCCCCTCCATCCTGGCCGATCGCCTGCGGGTGAGCGGCGTGCTTTTGTATGAGGGGCATGGTGAATGGCGGCGCACCGTCTACCGCAGCGGCATAAGCTCTACTCGTCAGCTTCCGCGGCGGGGTCGTGGCGCAACTGGCGGCGGCAGGCGTGAGGGTGGCGGCTGCGGCAGTGGCGAGGGCTGCGGCGACGGCGGCGCGGCAGCGTTCAAGAGCAGCAGCAGCTGGAAAAGGCATGAGCAATGCAGGCGGCGCGCGACGGGTGCAGCATGGTCGCCGCTGGATGGCGGTGCGCCGCTGCCGCTGGCGGTTGCCGCAAATTGCTGTGGCGGCAGCAGGCCAACCCTTAGTCGCGGCGAACGTCGTGTGGCGTACAGATGCGGGGTCGCAAAAGCAGGGACAGAAGCAGTTGTATGGATGGTCCCACGGCAGCAGGCAGCCTGGGCGCAGCGGCAGCTCGAGCCACGCCCGCGCCACACCGCCGCGTGGCGGGGCGCCTGCGCCCCTACGCTTCTGCCAGGGGGCGCATCCGTCCCCGCAGCAGCTGGACGACCCCGCCAGCTCGCCGGCTCGTACAACACGCCGCTGCTGTGCCCATCCCCCAGCCACGCAACCCAACACTCTCGTCCACTCCCCGTCCCTTCCATCGCCGCCACCCCTCCCAGCTCAACGGCAGCCTGGCGCGCGCCGCCATCCGGGAGCTGCTGGCCAAGCAGCTGATCAAGCCCGTGGCGGAGCACTCCAACCAGAAGATCTACACGCGCGCGGTCGGCGCCTGAGCGGCCCGTTGTTTGCGCCTGCTCGATAGCGTGTAAATCGCGACTGGCATGGTGGAGCCGTGACGACGCAGCACTGGGGCCCGTCGGGCGCGGCGGACGGGGCGCTGGCCAGCGCCGCGCAGAGCGGCTTGGCCGTTTGATGGCAGAGGGGTTCGATTGCTTGAGTGGCGCGGCGGGGTGTGACGCCCTGGTGGCGAGGCGAGGCCGTCGCCGAGAGTGGTCACGCCCAGTGCAGGGCGTGCGGGGGTGCAAGTGGTCAGGGGTTCCCCAGCTGCAACGGGTTGGAAGGCAGTCAAACCCCCCTGTCAGGGGCGTGGGCTGGGATTCAGATGGGCAGCATGGGTCCTCGTGCTGGCTAGGGGCGGGCGGATGGCGGTATTGCTGCCAGCACCCGCGCACAAAGTCTCGGCATTGGGCAGGGCAGGCAGGCGGCTGACACAAAAGACGAGCGACCGGGATTGGCTGGCCGCTCGCAACGTGTCGCCTACTGCTGCAGCGTCAGATGTAGAGAGTCACACTTGCCGCGGTGGTGCCGGTTTCGTGAGGAGCCACCCGTGGTATGCGACCTAAGACCGTCCTTTCGGTTTGCTCCGGGACACCCGGGTGACACGTCTGCTCTTCGCGTGGCTTGTGTCGGGGGAAACATCTAAACCAGGTCGTCTTCACTACCGAGGATAGCTTGCCGGCAGTCACCCGACAAACACGGTGATGATGCAGATCAATTTCAGTTGCCATTCGAATCCCTGTGATCTCCAGCACGCCTACTAAAGTTTAAATTATATTCTGCAGCTCTAGGTGGCGAGTGGTCTCCAGTAGTGGTGTCAGGCCACACGGCGACAGCTGCAGCGAACACGGAGCAGCGCTGCAAAGCCGCTGTGCACAGACGGCAGGCGCAGCGCGGCGGCAGCCGGTCTGCTGGACGTGTCGCAGCACAGTTGTGATCCGGCAGGCAGCAGGCGGACAGCCCGCCGCTTGCCGTCTGCGAGCAAATTCCAGCGGCGCCCCAGCCCCGTCCGGGCCACCCTAGGTGGCCCAGGCGGCCCCAGCCAACGCCAGCCTGACGCCCGGTGGTGGCGGTGCATCCCCGCGCCAAACGGCGCTTCTGGGGCCAGACAGCTAGGCCCATAGCGGAAAGCAAAACCTCGTCTGCACAACGCCAGCATGGCCCCGCCCCGGAAAGGTGCGTGCGCCCGCGTGCCGCCGCGCGCCTGCCCGCAAACGCCCCTGCCCAGCCTCCCCGTGGCACCCGCCCCGCCAGCCCGCACCCCCCACCGCCGGCCCCGCCGACCAAACCCGACCCTGCGCCATCCCCGCCAGGCGCGCCGCGCCGCCTGCCCCGCGGGCGCCTCGGAGCGGTGTTGGCGACCCTCCTCGCAGCGGCACTCCTGGCCGCCCTGTGGCTGATCCTGCACCCCTCTGGCACGTCCCGCGCCGGCAGCGCCTCCCCCTCGGGCCCCGCGGCCGTCGCCTTTGACAAGCCGCCCGACCTGCCTTGGAAAACGGCGTCTTCAAAGCACGGCGGCGGCGCCGCGGCGCCCGGGAAGCAGCACCGCAACCACATCTTCAGCGGCGGCCCCGGCGGCGCAGCGGCCGCGCTCGAGCC